GAATCCTTGCAGTTATTTGTAAAATAAAAACTACAATACAAACTGGTATTATTATTAAGTTGCCCATTGAGGTAAAATACTGCTCTTCTCTTCAATATATATTGTGTGAGGATTTTCAAGCTAGGAAGCTATAAATTTCCTCCCTTCCTCCCTCCTTCTTTCTTTCCTTCCGTCTTACCCCACAGTCAAGAACTATAAAATCTTTGAAGTGGAAATTGGAGAAAATTGGTCAAGCATTTGGTCTAGCCATGTAATTTTAAAGATGAGGAAACAGAGGCCCACTTCTTACATAAATTCTCACAGCTAGTTAATGCAAGCTCAAAACTAAATTGGGAGGTCTCAGTTTCTGGGGCTATGCCAGCTTTTGGTTGTTTCTTTTGCACATACTGTTTCGAGTAGTTAGCTGAAAAGTCTCTATGACCACAGATCAGTTCCTTCACGGTAGGGTGTATATGAAATACGTAGATTGAAATAGTTGAGAAAAAAGTCCTGAGTCATAAATATTTTAGGATAAAAATGTCACCTTAAATAATAGAAATGTATTAACTAACACTTTTAAATATACAAATTTAAAAGAACCTAAAAAGTAAAGCAGCTCTATTAATTTTGAATCTTATCCATTTACCTCATTATACATTATATGAGGCAGTTTTAAATACATACAAGCTAGTAAACCCACAAGGGTAAAATGATTTAGGAAATTATAAACATAAAATGAACAATTATTTATTTCTTTACCTCCAGCATGGTTTGATATGGCCTCTTCAGATTAAGGATGTGTAGATTTTCAATAATTGGTAAAGGTCTGGGTCCTGGAGGAGGATGTTGCTTGGAAGTTTTGGTCATGAAGATTTTAATATTTAAGATAAAAATAAGAATCAGGCTTAGAACCGGACATGGAACAACAAACTTGTTCCAAATAGGAAAAGGAGTACGTCAAGGCTGTATATTGTCACCCTGCTTATTTAATTTATATTCAGAGTACATCATGAGAAATGTTGGGCTGGAGGAAGCACAAGCTGGAATCAAGTTTGCCGAGAGAAATATCAATAACTTCAGATATGCAGATGACACCACCCTTATGGCAGAAAGTGAACAGGAACTAAAAAGCCTCTTGATGAAAGTGAAAGAGGAGTGTGAAAAAGTTGGCTTAAAGCTCAACATTCAGAAAACTAAGATCATGACATCTGGTACCATCACTTCATGGCAAATAGATGGGGAAACAGTGGAAACAGTGTCAGACTTTATTTTTTTGGGCTCCAAAATCACTGCAGATGGTGATTGCAGCCATGAAATTAAAAGACGCTTACTCCTTGGAGAGAAAGTCATGACCAACCTAGATAGCATATTAAAAAAGCAGAGACATTATTTTGCCAACAAAGGTCTGTCTAGTCCAAGGCTATGGTTTTTCCAGTGGTCATGTATGGATGTGAGAGTTGGACTATAATGAAAACTGAGCACCAAAGAATTGATGCTTTTGAACTGTGGTGTTGGAGAAGACTCTTGAGAGTCCCTTGGACTGCAAGGAGATCCAACCAGTCCATCCTAAAGGAGATCAGTCCTGGGTGTTCATTGGAAGGACTGATGTTCAAGTTGAAGCTCCAATAATTTGGTCACCTCATTCGAAGGACTGACTCATTGGAACTCATTCCTGACTCATCAGGACCCTGATGCTGGGAAAAACTGAGGGCAAGAGGAGAAGGGATCAACAGAGGATGAGATGGTTGGATGGCATCACTGACTCAATGGACATGGGTTTGGGTGGACTCCGGCAGTTGGTGATGGACAGGGAGGCCTGGCGTGCTGCAGTTCATGGGGTCGTAAAGAGTTGGACATGACTGAGCAACTGAACTGAACTGAACAGATTGAGTAAAATATCCATGTTATTTTCTGAAGATATTTAGCCATTTTTAAATAAATTTCATAACAGGAGGATAACAATAAAATATACAGAAAGCTGACATTTGGATTTATGTTGATTTTTAAAAACCTATAAAAATATCAAGGAACAATTTTACTGAAGTATAGCTGATGCAGAGTATTACCTAAGTCTATAAGCTGATGTAGACTATTATATAATCACAATATGACTATGTTGGTTACCTTTAGTAAACTCAGTTTTTAAAAACTTATCCTATAACATGAGACAGTAACTTGATTTTTCCAAAAATAGTGACTATATAAGTAAGTAAACCACAGTTGTCAAGATGGTGGAGTAGAAGGACATACACTCATCTTCTGCAAGAACACCAAAATCTCAACTAGCTGCTGAACAGCCATCAACAGGAGAACGTTGGATCCCACCAAGAAAAGATACCAGACGTCCAAGGGCAAAGGAGAAGCCCCAACAAGATGGTAGGATGGGAGAAATTGCATTTAGAATTAAACCTCATACCCGCCAGAGATGCTGGGAGGGTGCAAACAAAGCCCTTGTGTGCACAAGGATCCAGGGAAAGGAATGGTGACCTCTGCAAGAGACTGAGCCAGACTTGGCTTTGAGGGTTTGAGGGTCTCCTGTGGAGTGTGGAGGCAGGGGTCATCGGCCACAGGGACAGTGGCTCTGGCTGCAGCAGGCCTGGGAGGTGTGGCATGCGGCCTAAGTCCTCTTGGAGGAGGTCACCATTAACACCACCATAGAGCCACCAAGCCGACGACCCACAAACTGCAGAACAATTATCCCAAAGAAGTTCTCAGACTGTTGCAAAAGTTCTAAGGCCCATGGCAGGTTTCCCAGCCTGGGGATCCAGCAAAGGGACTGAGAACTCCCAGGAAGTTTGACTTTGGAGGCCAGTGGGTTTTGATTACAGAACTTCTGCAGGACTGGGGAAGCAGACTCTTGGATGGCACAAAAAAACATTTTGCACGCCAGGACCCAGGAGAAAAGAGCAGTGACCCCACGAAAGATTTATCCAGACTTGCCCAGGAGTGTCCAGGAGTCTCTGCCGAGGCATGCGATGACAGTCAGGGGCACTGAATACTACAGTCTTGGGAGATGCAGCATGCTGGCAGAAGTCCTTTTGAAGGAGGTTGCTATTAATGCCATTACCCCTACCATAGTTTGGCCTCAAGCCAAACTACAGGCAGGGAACACAGCCCCACCCATTAGCAGAAAATTGAATTAAAGGTTTATGGAGCATGGCCCCATCCACCAGAGGAAGACCCAGTTTCCCCACAGCCAGCCCCTTCTGTCAGGAAGCTTCCACAAGCTTTTAATCCTCATCCATCAGAGGGTAGACAGAACGAAAACCACAATCACAGAAAACTAACCAAACTGATCACATGGCTCACAGCCTTGTCTAATTCAAAGAAACTATGAGCCATGCCATGTAGGGCCACCCAAGATGGACGGGTCTTGGTGGAGAGTTCTGACATAACGTGGTCCACTGGAGAAGGGAATGCCAAACCACTTCAGCATTCTTGCCTTGAGAACCCCATGAACAGTATGAAAAGATAAAAAGACAGGACACCAAAAGATGAACTTCCCAGGTCAGTAGGACCCCAATATGCTACTGGAGAGGAATGGAGAAACAGCTTCAGAAGGAATGAAGACGCTGGGCCAAAGTGGCAACAACGCCAGGTGCGGATGTGGCTGGAGGTGAAAATAAAGTCTGATGCTGTAAAAGAACAGTATTGCTTAGGGACCTGGAATGTTAGGTCCATGAATCAAGGTAAATTGGAAGTGGTCAAACAGGAGATGGCAAGAGTGAACATCAACATTTTAGGAATCAGTGAACTAAAATGGACCAGATCGGGCAAATTTAGTTAAGTTGTTACATAGTAAGTAACAATTTCTTTGAATTGAGTATGGACTAAATACGAAGAATGTGTGTGTGTGTGTGTGTGTGCATGCATGCAGGTGTTTGTTATTAAAGTGAATTCCAACCACCGAAGAAAAAAGAGCCAAAGACAAACATTTTATTTTATAATGACATTTAATCCACTGGCATTTTATACAAAATAGGCTTTGGTCAGATAGCATTTGAGCTCTTGTTTCAAATAGTAAAAATGCAAAATAAGTGAATATGAGAATATTCAAACTGTGAATGAAAAATATTGCCTGCCATGTCAGAATACAAAAGATGTTGCAGCCATCAGCCACTAACTCTGATCCCAAGGGTGAGCCTTGAAGGAACTCAGGATGAAAACACAGATTGCCCACCGTCAAGCCCTCAGTCACTGCAAGCACCTTCAACAGTGTATCTTGAGGGGACTCGGGAAGGAAAAGAACAAGACTTGACTCTAGAGAGCTAAGGTGCAAATCAAATGAATGATTTCAGTGAGCTCAGACTCTTGCATCTTCCCATACTTAGAAAAGAGTTAAATTCATTAACTTGAAATACCTGGTTTTCTTTAATTAACAGTAATTTTTTGATGTTCTGATCACCTGGTCTTTGTTGCAAAACCCCTATGTATCTTGCCGCCCCCACCCCCCCTCCACTGCTCCCACTCTTTGGAACAGTCCTCAGAGCTGTTTCAGAGACTGCCTCCTGAATTTAAATCCTCAGCAAGTCTGCCAAATAAAACACAATTCTTCTAAAATAGACTATTTTTAAAATCCAGAAAGCACTATAAAAAAATCATATTACTGTTTATATACATACATTTCCTTCTTATTTCTTACATAAATTATTGTTTCATTGGCTTCAGTTATAATCTTTGGGATTGAAGACATAGCATGTACATTAAGGAACTGACATGATTAGAAAGTGCTGGTTTCATTGTAAATTCTCCTCCATGTGGGAAAAAATACAAGAAAATACATGGAGTATTCACCCTGTATCTACCCACTGGCAAGAATCCATTTGACCATCTGTTGTATGAGTCACATTTCTTCAATTAAACAATCATTGATACAAAGAGACAGCTCCAGGTTTTGTTAAAATGTTTTCACACTAGATATGTGGGGCTCAGGTTCTATCCATCCCATTCCATATACTCATTGGATGCTGCCATTTTGTTTCAAGTCTAGATAATGGAAAAAGAAGCTGAGGCACAGGCTTTTAGGCTTCACGTTCTAATAGGGTGAAATCGAGAAGGTCATGGAAACGGTTGTCATATTCTGTCCTCCTAGGAACCTTAAGAAAAAAAAAAGATTAAGGCACTTTTTACAATTTCTTTCACTGAGCTTATCAAAAGTTAGTATTGAAACAAAGATACTTTCTGTAATTATTCAAGTATAGAAAGAACTGGGAATAAAAATTGTTTGAGTTGGGAAGAAACAAAAGAACAAAAATATTTATCCTACCCATCCTGACTACATTCTCTTTAGCAAACCTGTTCTCTTTGAAAACCCCATTTGAACGTATTTAAGTATCTATCACTCTTTGGCTTTGCAGGAAATAATTTGGAAGAAAATGTCAATGAAATAAAGAGGTAGAAACTGGAGGATGGAAAAAAGCTAATGTTTCGTGAGTCACAGAACTTCTTGTATCCTCACCAAGATTCTTCAACCCTGCGTGTCCCACCTGCTCGATCTACTTACATATGATGTAAAATCTCACAGGATTCCTGTATTTTTATGAGGAGCTTTTTTTTTTTTTATTGTTCTTGGAGGAGTGAAAGGGTACTTGTCAACTAAAGTCTGTTTTTCTTTCATCTAGTTTCTGCTTTGCAAGGTATCATAGCTTCTGATTTTATCTTTCTGGGCACATTGTTTCAATTTCTCTCTATAAGTGGGGAGTTCAACCAATTTTGACATAAGGATGCCACACAGACATCTAGACATGTGGTGGACAAAACTTTGCCTAGTATAGTCATCATATACATCCTTAAAAGACTACACAGTACCTCCCAATAAACAGAATCATCGTAGCAGTCCTCATCAGATGGTTGTGCCCAGATAGGTATCTTTAGAATTGCACCTGTGAAAGCGAGAGAAAATAAGTCACGTTATGAGGCTAGAAGGGAAAATCAACTTGCTTAGTAGTTAAAATACTGTTATAAAGTCATCCCCTGGAGCTTACAAGATTACTGTCAGAGATGTAGAAAAATTTTAAGTTTACCAATGTTTAACAATATCTATTATGCTGAGAGCATGAGATACAGGGAAATTTTTTTTATTTTTTTATACTCACCTGTGATTAGCCCTCCAACAAGTGCTGTTGCAATGGAAGAACCTAGCGCAGCTGCCTGACTGGCCATCTTAGCCCTAGGGGGCCAAAAATAGAGAATTATTTGTCCAAGATGCCTGGCAATAAAAACCGCATTTCCTGAGGGGGTGCATGCCTGCCACCTTCAGGCCAGAGTGCAGCATGACATACCAGCAAACATTACAATTTTTCTTTAATCTCATATTTTCTTTGAAACTCTTAAATCAATGTACACAAATTCTTATAAGCACGTATACAAGAACCACCTTTTTCTTCAGAAATGATGAAAATATCTTTCTTAGGAAGGGTTTAGTATTTCTAAAAATGTGATTGGAGATCTGATTCAACATCTATTTATTGGGTGCTTGCTCTGTGCCAGCTTCCCTTCTAGGTACTGAGGAAGGAGCAATGAGCCAAACAAATGGAAGCTGACATCTCTCCTTACCCCACCCCCCTAAAGACAATTGTGATGAAATTAAAAATCATAAAAGCTAATTTTAGCATGTAGTGTAGGGACGAGATATTAAAGTGTGTCTCTGTATCTTAGAAGTAGTTACCTTGAAATGAAGTGAATGAAGAATTCCTTATAATTTGGGGAATAGAAGAATATGATAAAAAGCTACAGAAATGCATAAAGCTGTCAAAAGAACTAGGAGTGTGGGAATCTCCTTAGCACATGCCTCACTCTTAACAGGCAGTTAACACATAGTTGAAAGGTCAAATCAATGGTTGCAGGACAGCAAACTGCTGGAAGAAGAAAGTGTGTTGCTCTTTCTTCCTCATCCTTCAAGGGAAAAAATGTACTAAACTCAGATTTATTTCTCTCTCTCTCTCTCTCTCTCTCTCTTGATTTAAAGGGTTTAATCTCTTTCTACTGAAGGAAAAGTTGTCCAAGAAATGTATGATTATTGTAAAAATATACAAAACCCTTAAGAAAGAGAAGGGGAAAAGTTTAATTTCCCTCCAATCCTATCAGTCTAAACATGTAAAATATAAATAAGTATTTTTATAAAAATGCAATCATATCATGATACTGGGTTTTCACATTAAATCTTAATGTTCTTTTATGTCAGTAAATGTAGATATGGATCTTAGCTTTTATTGCTACAGAGTGTTACACTGTACAAATATACTGTAATTACAGTTCTATAGATTGAATATTTAGATTATTTCTTATGTTTCATATTTTTAAATATGCTGTGAGAATAAATCCTCTTATGAACATGCTTATGGACTTGTCCAAAAATTTCCCTAAAATAACACCTAACTAGAAATGGGATTATTTGTAAAAGTTTATATGCTTAATAAGGCCTTTTCCAGATAGGAACTTGTACAATTTATATCTCCATTTTGTTACTTTAGCCACCATTCAGTATTATAGTTTATAAAATCTTTATCAATATTATATACTGAAAAATGGATAACTTGTTTTAATTTGCATTTCTTTGATTACTAGTGAAGTTGAATATTTAATATATATTTACTCATTTGATTTTCTTCTTTTGTAAGCTGACTGTTAATTTTACCAGAATTTACCAAGATCTTTCACAGGGTATTAAAAGATGTTTCTGATGAAAAATATTCCATGATAAAATAGACTTGGAAAATGCTGGATTAGACAAAATTTTAACAGCATTATTAAAGTTAGGCTGCCATGATTTGAAAAAATGTCCCCTAAGTATATTAACTTCTCCTTGCTCTGTGTCTCCCAATAAACCCAATTTGCATTTTCATAATCTGAATAGACACATGTGAGTAAGTAGGCTCGACTCTAGGACAAAGTATTGTATCTGCTGTGTGAAATATGTGTGAATTTTGCCCACACATGTGAATGGACCTTCCAAGGTTTGCCCCCTCAGCTCCTCCTGAGTAAATTAAGTTGTTGCTAAGTCTGTATACCCAAGGACTAGACTCTTAAACATGGAATCTACCCCAAATCTGGCCACTGAGCAAGAATCAAGCCTACTTACTCTCACATGTCTATTCAGATTATTAAAATGCAAATTGGGTAATGTTTCTTTGGCCCTCAGTTATGTCTCTTTGGCTTCAGTAAGAACAGTACTTACAAACTGTGGTCTGGATTGCTAAAGAAAAAACTCTTATCACTGGGTTTCTCCAAGAGTGAGAGGAAACAGCACTTGACCTTGGGGAATAGCAAAACATATTCTTTCACTCACGAGTCAGATTTCTCCAAGGCCATGATGATGATGCTGGCAAGGCCTCCTATCACACCAGGTAAGCCATGTAGGTTATGGACCCCACATGTGTCATGGATCTTCAGTTTAGTAGCAAAAAGTGGCTGAAATTGTAAAAAGAGGAAGCCTTATTATTTTGTTAGCTGTAGAGAGCCCTGTGACTAAAGTAAATGAACACGCAGGAAAATCTTTATCTCCAGGCCAGTTTCCCATCTACATCTGAAATCCACTTGCAACAAAGAATATTAATACACTGGTGGCAAAACTTCTCATTTCAGTCTTAGGTAGACTGATGTGACCGTAAGTGACTTTAAGTCCTGCTCATTCTTACCTACTGATGGAATCTTAGTGAAGTCGCTCAGTCGTGTCCAACTCTTTGCGACCCCATGGACTGTAGCCCACCAGGCTTCTCAGTCCATGGAATTTTCCAGGCAAGAGTACTGGAGTGGGTTGCCATTTCCTTCTCCAGGGAATCTTCCCAACCCAGGGATTGAACCTGGGTCTCCCGCATAGCAGGCAGATGCTTTACCATCTGAGCCATCAGGAAAGCCCATCTTAAATCCTCTGAAAAGAGCTCAGAGTCTTTAATTATACAAAGCAAACATCATCAACAAATGTCAACCACAACAAAAACCGAGAAAAGTAATACAAGTACTTAACATTCAGTTCATATTGTCACAAGTAACCGATATCCACAAAAGAAGGCGAGAAAGAGTAGAAACCACTGGAACACTGACATGTTGAGTGATCCAAAGAGAGGTGCTTAGGAAAGGACTTTTCACATCATTTCTCTCCTGGGAGAAGGAAATGGCAGCCCACTCCAGTGTTCTTGCCTGGAGAATCCCAGGGACAGAGGAGCCTGGTGGGCTGCCGTCTATGGGGTCGCACAGAGTCGGACAGGACTGAAGCGACTTAGCAGCAGCCACAGCAGCAGCTGATGGGATATAAGAAGGTGATGGGGGCAGATCCAAAGTTTGACTGAGAGTGTCTGTTAATACTTACAGTCAGGAACTTGAACCCCAACACGGAGACCACTCCCGCAATGCTCCCGATGATCATAGCATAATAGGGGGAAATCTCCATGTCCGCACAAGTGCCCACAGCTACTCCCCCAGCCAGACTTGCATTCTGAATGTGAACCTGTGTGGGGCACAGAAATACGAGTGAGAGGAAGTGGAGTTCAGGACTGTAGCAACCTCGGGTTCGATGGATTCCACACACATTCTTCAGTTGGAAGGGTTGTGGATTCTGCTATAAGAAGGTTCTTTGTAGTTCCAGAAGGCCTTTCTTACCAGCAGTTGACCTGTGGAATCTTTCTTATAGGGTTCCTTGGTTGTGCATGAGAGATCAAGTTAGTAAGACTAGGGTGGGGAGGGATGTGACAGAATCAAGAGAAGTTGTGGGAGGGTGGGAATATGCTGCAGTTATTCTGGCAGTGTTCTGCCTCTTTATGCAGCTTTGGAATGCATTTATGGTTACTGTGAACTGAAACAGGCTTATGGCTGCTGTGTGCTTTGCTGAGTCCATGATATTCCACTAATCAAGGACAGGATTTAAAGGCATTGAAATGTACGTATTACACATCAAAGACAACAGCTTTAGCAAGCGTCACTGTTCTGAGAATATCTGAGAATGGAGGAAAGAGGAACCAAGGTTCCATTTACCAGAATTCCTCAGAAAAATTATATTCTGGCTGTTCTGCCAAAGGAAAAAAGGTTCTCAGTACTTTTGAAAGAGATCCACTGAACCATGCATGATGGCTTCTTTTATTTTTTTTCATTTATTTTTCTCATGAAACAGTTTGTAGAGAACTGAAAGACATGTCCTTAGCTATGTTTAGAAATATTTTGATACAGTATCTTTTTTCTCTCTCAGCTTAGCAGAGTGGCTGATTTGAGGATTATTCCTTCACTGACATTTCTTTAGCTCATAGGCAAGAAACTAAAAAGATCACTATGAAAAATAAATAAATAAAGAGATCATTATGGGGGATTTTTAAAAATGTTTTACTTTGAAATAATTATGGACATGTAAAAGTTGCAAAAATATTGCAGAGGATTTCCATATATGCCACATCCAGTTCCCTCCAATGTTAACATCTTACATTATCATAGAACTAAGAAATTAGCATTGGTGTACTATTATTGAAGACCTTATTTGAATTTTACCAATGTTCCCACTGATATCCCTTTTCTTTTCCAGAATCCTATTCAGGATCCCTGGAGAAGGAAATGGCAACCCACTCCAGTATTCTTGCCTGGAGAATCCCATGGACTGTAGCCTGCCAGGCTCCTCTGACACAACTTAGCAACTAAACCACCATTCAGGATCCCACAGTACATTTAGTTGTTATTTCTTTGAAATATTTGCTGTTAGAAAAATAGAATCAACTTGCATTCTCCCACTCTTTTTCTACTCTTATAGAAAGTCCTGTTTCTTAAGAAAGATTTTCTGAAAACTTGGGGAGAGTTGGCTCTAACAGTAAAGAAATATGTTTCAGATCTTTGATTTTTTGCATGTGTGCATGCTCAGTCGCTTCAGCCATGTCCAACTCTTTGCAACCCCATGGACTGTGGTCTGCCAGGCTCCTCTGTCCATGGAATCTGCAAGGCAAGAATACTGGAATGGGTTGCCATGTCCTCCTCCAGGGGATCTTCCCAACTTGGGGACTGAAACTTTGTCTCCTGCATCTCCTACACTGCAGGCTGATTCTTAACCCACTAAGCCACCTGAGAAACCTGACTATATTCCCTGTAAAACTGTAAATTCCTTGATAATATCTTTTTTTAATTTGTCCCAGTATACATCTGAAAAATAAAGGAATGTTATTTTCAGATTACTCTCTAAGGTCTCCAGTGTTGTGATTTGTTTGGGCAGCTCAGCAGTGATGCAGAAATGAGTTACTCATCAGAGCAGACATCAGGGTGGCTTAGCAAGCTTCCACGGGGGTTAACATGGCACTCACCATATTGAGCTTGCCTCGGCTCTCGAGAAGGCTGGAACATGCGTAGGCTGTGACCACGGAGGCCGCGAGGGAGAAGTATGTGTTCACGATGGCCCTATACTGTGTCTTTTCATTATCAGTGATGGCAGAATTAAAGCTAGGCCAAAATATCCATAAGAAAAGAGACCCTGAAGTAAATCACAGAAACGGATATTATTAACAGTTCTGAATATGAAAGATAGTCCAGAGGAAGTCATTTACCTTGGGCACAGACATGCTGTCTTTACTTTTAGGCTTTGTTATCTAAGAGTTGGGGGAAAGAGAGGCATTCCCTTGTGTCTGACCAAATAGACAAGAATCAGGCAACTTGAACCCAGCTCACCAATCATGGCAAACAAGTCCGAGTGGTATACAGACTCTTCATTGGGATGTCCTTCTTTCAATTTTGATCGATACAAGATGCCAGCTACAGCCAAACCAAAGTAAGCCCCAAAGGCATGGATGGTCATTGATTCTCCAATATCAGAGGCCTGAGAGGGGAAAGCATTCATGTAAATAGAGGTGACACTCAACACAGGAGGGAGATCATTAAGGACGGCTTCATGCGTTAAACAAAAAAGATCGAGAAAGAGAATGAATGTGTCAGAGAAAGGGGAATAAGACAGGATCGTGTAAAAGAAAAGTCACGGGCATTGGAACAACACAGAACTGACTTTCAGTCTTAGGTCAGGTACTTCTCTGATGTGACTTTAGACAAATTGTGCTACTTTTTTGAATCTCCAGTTGTATGAAAAGGAGAAATGTTACCCAGCCAGTACAGCTCTGGTGGGATTTAGATGGGACCATGTTTTCCAAGGGCTAGGTCCTCAGTGGGCATGCAATACATTTCAGGTTACTTTTTCAGGTTAGACAGATTCTTAGTGAGATATTATGCATTGCACCTGATAGAAAACAAGCATGACTTTTGTATTCATTGACTCTGCTGTGATGACATGAAAACCAGTTGAGGCCCAAGATTCATTTGAAGAAATATATTTTAGGTCCCTCTATAGAACACGGAATGGATATGCTGTAGTTTTCTACAGTTCTTGTCTCTAGAGGGAATGTTCAGAGTGCCAAACCCAAGGCATTGCTGTATACTTATTAAAGTAGAAAAATGATACAAATTTATTAATTTATTTACATTTTCATGCTTGATAAACTCTTACATACCTTTCAGGTCCAGTTTATCTGTCAGTTTCCTCGAAGAAACCTTCCTTGATTCCACAATAAATTAGGTCTTCTAGGTATATTTCCTCAGAGCCTTTCTATTTATTTTTCATAGTGTGTGTTGTAATTTATAGTAATAATTGTGTGTGTGTTTGTGATTCTGTGGGTAGGTGGTTGAATGTATGAAAATTTGTTGGATGTCTGTCTCTGCCACTAGGCTGTAAACTCTGTGAAGAGACGTTTGCAACTAAGTCACCAACACGTGATACCTAGAAATTTGCCAAAGTGTTTGTTATCAAGTCACATGTTCAATAGACGCGTAAATGGACACAAATTTGAGCAAACTCTGGAAGACCATAGAGGACAGAGGAGCCTGGTGTGCTGTAGTCCACGAGGTCCCCAAATGACGGACACAACTTAGCAACTGAACAGCAACGTGAATAAATAGAATACTGGAGAGTGCCCGACATGTCGATTTCCCTTGGGAGAATCAATCAGATTTTCATGGAGGGGAAGACATTTGATCTAAGCTTTAATAAAAGACTTTGAAAGAGCAATTCACTTAGTAGTTGAAATATAAATAGGAATTGGTCATTGATAGAAAGTGCATTTACATAAAAAGAGTTGTAGAGCTAGGAAATTCTGGATTTGAATTCAGATTCAGGCAAGTTGGTCATTTAGTATCTGTGATCATCAGTTTCATTGTGTATAAATGAATCATAATACCTGTCTAACACTATTGTGGTGCCAATGCAATTAGACAATGTTTATAGAATTTCTAGTTTACAGTAGTTACTCAAATGATGACTATGATTATTACTTGCTATGGTGTCATGCCCACCAAGGTTTGTCCCTGCTTATTTATGGTGGGCATCTACGTGTGTTGTGCTGTTCAAAGCCAGGTAAGTATCAATTGAACACTTACCGAAAATACCTCAAAAACCAGATATTCATTGGCAGCAAATATAGTAATTTCTAAAATTGTCATGATCAACATCTGGATTGGACTTGTTTTTCCCAGGACAGCTCCAAAAGAAATCAGAACTGAGACTGTACTGAAGTCTGCATTTATCATGCTGAGGGAAGAAGAAAGAAGATGTTGAAAAACAATGCATATCTCAAATATATGAGTTGTAATGAATATAGCATCACCTCGTCCAGAGTTCAAGGCCCCTCTCTGCACCTGTTCCCATCAGGTGCTTCTTCCAGACCTCCTTTTATCCTCTCCCACTTCCTTGCCTACCCTCACCTCCATTCTTTAGTTGCTCTCGCATTTCCTTTAGCCTACCTGTTCTTTACTTCATTTAGGGTTTTACCTTATTTCTGTTGATCTGAAAATGAATTACCTTCTAGAGCCTTCACATGTCAAAAAAAGTCCCAGAAAAATTACTAAAGAAGGATTTTTGCTCTTTCTAGCTGAAATGAAAGGAATAATAATCTTATGGAAGGGGATTTCTCATACCCTTAAGGTCAAATCAGAGAGGATATAGACATGAATATATGGCCCAGCACAGTTGAGCAAGGCATTGATTTAGATCCTTGGATCCCAGTGATCTTTATTTCATGGAAGGGAGACAATCGGCAAGCTAGTTCAGAGGCTGACTTTCAAGAGACTAAGCAGAGAAACAACTGCTCTGAAAACACAATGATTGGAAAGTAATGGGTGCTCACCTTTTGATTTCTATCTGGAATTTCTGTCCGTGGCTATGAAAGATCCCCTGCATAAAAGTGCCCCATTGGAGTCCCAGAGCAGCAATGAGTAGGTTGAAGCCCACACTACTGAAGCCATATTTCCGCAAGAAGGTCATGAGGAAGCCGAACCCAGCGAATACCATAACGTGCACATCTTGGAAGTCTGCAAAAGAGGAGAAAGAAAAAGAAATCTGCATAAGGGGAGCACTGAGAAAGTGTGACATCATAGTATATTCCATTTACTAAAGTGCTGCGTCTTTTTCAGAAAACACTACAAAAGGAAAGTTAACTGCACAGCCAAAGGCTGGGTTGCGGTGCCAGCGAGGCTACTTACGTGAGGAGACCTTGGGCAAGTGACTCAGGGCTTGAGCCTTTTCTTGGAAGACTATGCACTATCATACCAATATGTCTTTCATCCTCTCTGAAGAATTTTCCATTACTTGCCACACGAGGACACCTTTGCTAAATACAGTACCAGAATCACCTGTTCTTGCAGACTTTCCCAGTACTCCCAGGGAAAATTAATATTTCTTCCAGTCTTCCCCAAACCTCAGCTTTAGCAATCGTTACATTGCATTGCTATTTATTTACCACATATCATACTGTAATAGTTATTTGATGAGGGGTCCATTGCCTGCACTAGATGGTGAGTTTCCTGGTTGAAGGGTTTAGGGCTTTTTGATCCCCCGAATCTGTCACAAAAGCCTGCATATAGAGAATGAGGCACTGTTGACTAAATGAATGAGATGGTATCTTTATGTCTCATATGGAAATCTTACCAGATCGTTATTTAAGTCATAAGGCTTGATGTCTTTGTTTACACCTTCTAAGCCAGTGGATGGAAGGCTGTATCCTCTTGAGGAACAAATTCCTGACTTAGTTCTGCAGATGGAGGCTGAGGTCCCCCAACAGTGTCACGTGACTGTGTGACCTTGGGCAAATCACCTTGGGCAAGTCACTTCTCCTCACTTTGGAATTCTCATTTGCAATACTGAAAAGGCTCTATTTCACATTTTCCGGGGCTGTAGGGAGTGCTGTCGAGTGACAGCTCTCACTTCTCTCTGAGAAACGCTGGTGACCAGTCCCAGCCCTTCCCTCGGGTCACTTCAGCCCAGTGACTGGTTCACAACAGCATCCCCTCGCCTTGGGAAAAGAGCCACTTGAAGCTAGACAATCCCAGTCTCAGAGTTTCCTATGAGGTCACCTGAGGCTTTCTCTCTCTGCCCAAACCCTTCTGCTGCAGGTATTGATCATAAGACACGCCCCAGTAAACTTCCTTCAGGCTAATGCTGCTCTGAGTCTGTGGCACCTTCCTGGGGGCTCCCGCTGTCTCTGTAGAGCTTTCCTGACACTCTTTCCGACATGACTTGCATATCACATTTTTTTAAAACTTTGCAAGTTAAATCTGACGCACTAATCTGGCACTGATCACACACCTGGAAGTGGATGAAGATGCCGGGTTTCCAAGGGTTCCCAGTACTTGAAAAGGGCTGGTTGGAAGTGTGGGAACTCACCCTACAGTCTTAGTCTATGACAGATATCAGGACAGGCAGAGGGTGGCAACATGTATTGAATCACAAGGGTCTTTTGGTGGTCTAGAAGCTAGTCTCATTTGTGCATGAGTCCAGCAAATATAAGAATAAAGAGAATGAGCAAACCAGACCCAAACTTCCTACTTCAGGCACACACAGCCTCAGCATTTTTTCGACCTCATCCGGGCAGTGAGTCTTCTGATCATTTCATTGTTCATTGGCTCCACCTCCCAAGAGAGTCAGTATGAGGAGGGTGAAGGGAAAAAATAAATTTCTGAAGATTCTCTTTCCTTAGCAGCTTTGAAGGAGGTCTCAGAGAGGAGACTGCTGCAGTCTTTTTTTTCCTAGTGAGATAATGCATACTGGCAACAATTTGACTTATACCCGCATTCTGAATGCCCACCCTCATCTCATTGCATATCCACCTAGCGAACTTCTGAATTGGGATTTTACCTGATTTATCAACAGGCAACTGCTAAATTGTTTGGTTTTGGAAATATAGTTGGCTATATATATATATATATATATATATATATACACACACATATATACATATATACTATACATACGTATATACTATATACATATGCACATTTTTTCCTTTACAAACTGTTTTTACCACTTTTAAATGTAAATATATATATATATAATAAAATGTGTATATATATATATATATATACACATTTTTTTTCTTTACAAACTGTTTTTACCACTTTTAAATGTAAACGTTTGATTTAGGTGATAGACTAAGTTGGCGTGGAGCTCAGAGAATATGCCTGACTTACTGACTTGCCCTGATTTTACTAGACCTTTCTGAAACTCAGCTTTCTCCTCTTTTAAAGAACAGTTTGGATTCTACGAAGTCTAACGTCCCTCCTAGCTCTACAACTTACTTTGCTGATATTTATTTTATTGATGCGTAGTTGATTTATAATATCGTGTTAATTTCAAATGTACCTATAACAAAGTAATTCATACCTATCTATCTATATTCTTTTTCAGATGTGTTCCCATTATAGGTTATTATAAGGGTTCCTTGTGCTGTACAATAGGTCTTTGCTGTTTGTTTGTTTTACTTTGTTTTTAGATCAGACTCTAAGATCCAGAGAAATTAGATGATTTCCTTACACTCACGAAGCTAAAATAAAAGTAAGAACCCAGTCTACTGACTTCACTGGGTTTTTTCATTACTTCAAGCTACTTTTCTAAAATTTGTTTCTTTTCCCCCCTAGAGTGCTCTTGTTCCTCCTATAGTCTGCTGATTTTAAAATATGGAGTAGCCAACTAATTTAAAAATTGGCTTAGCCAATTTTTAATGTCTCACACTAGGAGTAATAATTCTTCAGATTCCATCCTCCTCCCCCTTTCATGGTAAATCAGACATTTCCCCCCTTTATTTATAATTTTTCTTATACAAAATTTTCATACCTAAAAAACAGTAGAAGAATAGTATAATGGACACAAATATATCTATCACCTAGATTTCACAGTTGTTAACATTTTGCTATGTACATGCTTCATTCCCTATTTTTTCTGAAATATTTTGAAGTAAATAACAGATATATTTCACTCTTAAATACTTATGTATCCCTAAAAATTTGACATTTTTCTATACAATCACAACACCATCATCATTCCTGGCAGAATAATCACAATTTATAATTATAATCTAACACTTCATATTCAGATTTCCTAGTTATCCCCAGAGTAGCTCTTACAGCTGATAGAAAACCAGACATGTTATAGGAGGGAGGGAGGTCCTGTATGGACAGCGCTCCAATTTTTTTTCCTCCTGTAATCTCATGCTTGTTACTGCTTTTCGCCACAAGGGGGCCTAAGAACCTTATCTATTTAAATTGCTAAAGAGAGCTTACAGAGTTGACTCAACTGATGATGATTCTGTATAAAAGGTATGGATAAAAAGGTTTATAAACAGTTAGGGTCATGCATTATCTTTCATCCTGCTCTAGGAATTTTTTTGTGGGTAAGCACCAGGGAAAGGGTCATGAAGTCAGTTTTATGGTGCAATTAAATTATGCTGCAATAAAGGAATTCTTTACAGAAGGAAGAAGGCATTTCTTTACTAGTTGGAACTTCTGTGAAGTGCTCTGACAGGTTTCAAGGACTGCCAAGTCTCATCTGAATCAGATATTTTCAATAGCTGGCAATTTTTAAAAATTGAATTAAAACTGGTTTAAAATATTGTGTTGGTTTTAGGTTTAAGGCACAGTGATTCACTTATTTTTTTCAGATTATATTCCATTATAGGTTTTTACAAGATACTGAGTCAGAGTCCCTGTGCTATATAGTAAATCCTTCTTGCTTATTTATTTTAGGAAGAGTAGTTTATATCTGTTAATTCCTCTTAATTTGTCCATTCCTCTCCCCTTCAGTAGCCATAAGTTTGTTTTCTGTGTCTGAGCCTGTATATGTTTTGTATACAGATTCATTTGTATTATTTTTTAGATTCCACACATAAATGATATCATATAGCATTTGTCTGTTTCTGTCAATAGCAGGCGATTTTAGCCTCTAAAGTAAATTTGGCAATGTCTGGTAATTTTGTTCTGTATTTTACTACCACATTTAGCTTGGACCAGGATATCTTTTAAAGCCCTGATAACTTTACAATGCAATTGATGATTTCAACTCTCCTCTTCCACCACCAGCCACAAACAAAATGAAACAGAGCCTTCCTTCCCCTCGACCTCTGTACATGCCTGTTTCCTAGAATGTCTGCTCCACCCTACACCCAACTTTTTTGGGGGCACTCTATGTGGCCTGTAGGATCTTAGTTCCCTGACCAGGGGTTGGACCTGGGGCCCCAGCAGTGAGAGCACTGAGTTCTAACCATTGGACTTCCACGGAATTCCTCCACATCCAGCACTTCTTTACCTGGCCTACTTCTAGATGACTTTCAAGAACCAAGCGCTGGGCAGAGCTGTGACACTGTGCATGTCCCTCTGGTTTTATTTCATTTGTTTATGTGCTTGTCTGTTCCCGTTTATCATTTATTCTGATAGACCATTGAGTGAGTACTGCCAGTAAGGCATTCTTTCAGGAGAAAGTGACTGCAAGTGTTAAGGTAGGAGTCTTTAAATGGCCTCTTCCTTGGAGACCCAGCAGAAAGTCTGGCAACTGCAGCTTTTCAGGAGATGCCCCGTTTATGCAGGAATAAATGACTCACAGGTGAGGGCTGCTGAGAATTTGCCTCTTTGGGATTCTAGGTCTCTTATTCAGAAAAATGATTCTTCTGGATCAGGTAGTTAGAACTGTTCAACTCACTCTCCAATTAGAAGCTGGTTTTGTTTTGTTTTTTAATGACTGAGGGCTGGCAAGCTGTTTGCATGCAGATAGCGATTGGTTCTTAGTGAGTTCCAATCTTTTGAACCATTTGGGGGATCATTCTGAACTTATCTTTTCTGAAAAGTAGTATCCTAGTAGTGGTATCTTTCCTCTCCTACTTTCACATATTCTGTTATTATATATTTCAAATATTTGGAAAAAATAGTACAATGAAGAGCTATATACTATTTCCCTAGGTTTACCAGTTGCTAATATTTTTTGTATTTGTTCTCTCTTTCCAGATATATCTCTCAAACCATTGAAAAGTATGACATTTTGCCCTAAA